GCCCGTGACGCTGATCGACAACGTGGCGACGCGGACGGTCCGGGATCACGCCCAGGAGCTGGACGAGGCGCTGGTGTCCACGCTGCAGGCTCTGGAGGCCCTGGCGGCGTCGGAGGACTACCCCCACCATCACCAGCAGCCCCCGCAGACAGCAGGTGGAGACAGGGCGGACAGGGCTGCGGGCCGTAGGCTGCTGCCACTGTCTTTACCCACTCACCAGCAACGGGCCGGGCTCGCTGGGCCTGTCCGACACACTGCAGACATCGAGGCGCCGCGCCAAAGCCGAGACGCTGCCTGTTTTAACCGCGCGGCACGCTGGCACGTCTCCCCACAGCATGGTCTTAATCAGTGTCGTGACGCGCCAGTGTGCTTGTCATTCCTTTCCAGAGCTTGTTACATAAAGGTGGAGAAATCCTTTTTTTTAAGCTGCATGAAGTTGTAGGCTTTAAAAAACAAACTCCGAATCGCAAGAAGTGCAAAACACAGAGGAGGTCTCATTACATCTTACATAAAAGGGCATGTGGCATTGACGCTTCGCTGCCTCCTGACATTAAAACACCTTTACAGCCACCAAAATCGCTGTAATCATTTTGTAGTGAACTTGGCGGTCTGTAATTTAATTCTCTAAAAGCCCGTTATCATAATCCAAGAGGGAGCAATTCCCTCGGACAAACACTCCAGCCAAGGATGGTTCTTTCTACTTTTATATTTATCTGATTTGTATTAAAGGACTTTTTTTTTTCAATGAAGCCATAGGTTGGTTGTTTCCCCTAAGACGGCAAGTCTGTACATTCAGCTGTAATAAACTAGAAATGTGTTGTTCTACAATATCTTGTGGTCTGTTCTCAAGAGTCATAAACCTAAAAAAATGCTCAAATGTCAGACTGCAGGTTTAAACCATTTCAAGTATTAAATGCATAAAGGTGCTTCACTAAAGGCTGCAATAGATAAGCCACAGGAATCATTTATGGTGCAATTACAACAGAAGCCTTTAAATTAAAACAAAGTACAGGCTTTAAATTGCCATACTCTGTCCTGCCGAGCACAATGCAATTGTGTCTGTTGATTTTCTGATCCCTAGTGAAAACCCTTATTAGCAATGAGTATTTCTCCCAGTCTCCATGGTCACCTCACTGAGGGTTTTTAAGATACAGGAATTTTGTTTTTCTGTCCCTGACTTTGCGTCTATGCCCTGGTCCTCTGCAGGTCTGATCGTGCTGGCAGCGATAACCCCTGAATCGTCGCTGGACTCCGGGCATGAGACCAACTCCTCCGAGCTCAACGATGTCTCCGAGATGGTGTCGGCCATGAAGCAGCACCAGAGCCAGGCCTACCTCCTGGCTCACCACGTCAACAAGGAGCGCCTCTTCAGCCGGCGGGACTTCCCCCTGGCCATCCCCGGCTGCACCACCCAGGCTCTGGGGGGGGCGGCCTTCTCGGTGGGACAGCTGCGGACCGCCTGCTCCCCCAAGCCCCTGGTTCTCACCAAGACCACCCCTCTGCGGGTCAGCCCAAGCCAGGACGTCCCGGCGCCCCCAGGGCAGCAGGGGAGGACACAAGGCCCAGCAGAGAGCCCTCAGACCGCGGAGCTGAACCTGGCAAGCACCCCCGGTCCCAGTCTCAGAGACGCCGCGGCCTCTCCTTCTCAAGTACCCGGTGGGGAGATCAAACAGGCCAGCCAGGGGGAGAAGAGTCAGGTCACTAAGGACCAGAAGGTGCCGAGCAGTGCAGAGGGTAAGCTGAGCCCTAACCCTTCTGCAAGGGTGAAAGGAAAGGTTTTCGGCATCCCAAGCCCAGAACTTACCAACAAAGCCTTACCCATCCTGTTGCCTGTGGACAGTGCCGTTTCTGCCAAGATCCGTCAGACTAACAAGCTGTGCCAAGACGCCGAGGCTGCCTCCAGTAAGACCAACAAGCCTTCTAGCTCCAAAAGCGTCCTTCCTGCCGGGGAGCTGTTCTGCACCTGCCCCGGGCGAACAGAGCCTGGACCCCAGGTGCGCCTGAAAGACCCCCAGGCACAGAAGGTGGTGGCTTTCCATTCCTCTTCCCCGACGGACGACGAGCGGCTCCGAGCGAAGGCCAAGGGGCTGCACCTGCCCACCGGCAAAGAGAGCACGGTCAGGGCGACCGAGCAGAGCCACAAGCCCGGGCTCCTGGCTCCACCCAAGTACTCCCCACTGGCCCCGGACAAGCCGGAGCGCAAGGAGAAGCCGGAGAGCAAAGCAGACGCGTCTCAGAGCAAAGGCACCGGGGAGTCTCAGAAAGTCCCCAGGAATCTGATACCCGGGGCGGAGAGCCCCCAGCCAGCCGGTTCGGGAGACGCCACAGCTCCCGCCGCCGCTGCTACGGAGAGCAAGAGGCAGAACGGCAGCAAGAACAAGCAGCAGCGCAGCGCCTCCTTCCTGAGCTTCAGAAACCTGCTGTCGGCCACCTTCCCAGCCCGGATGCGCCGGGAGACGGACGAGAGGCAGGCCCAGCTGCAGAAGGTCCGGCAGTACGAGCTGGAGTTCCTCGAGGAGCTTCTCAAGCCCAAGGCGGCGCAGGTGGAGTTCCTCCCTCCGGGGCCCTCCCCGGTTCCGCCGGCGGGCACGCCCTGCCTTTGCCAGCTCCGCACCAGCCCCGTGCAAAAAGTCCCCGGCATCTCCCGGGAGCAGCGGCGCAGCTGCGACTGCAAGAGGATGTGCCGGGGGATCCGGCTGCCGGACACCCCCGTGGGATCCGCCGTGGAGAGGAGAGGGAGGGAAAGGACTGTCAGCAAGCACCCCCCTCCGATCCCTAAGCCCTCCCAGCCACAGGAAGGGCACAGGAGACCCCAGACCCTAGAGATCAAGACCACCCGGATCCGCTCCACCAGCCTGGAGTCCCGTGAACCCCGAGACCAGCCCATGTCCTGCTTGCCTGCCTGCGCTTCCCGGTCCGAGTGCATGGGGGCGCCTCAGTACAAGAAGCTCCTGAGACGCTACAGCATCAGCGAAGCGGACAGCAGCGAAAGGGCACCCCTGTACGCAGAGGCCAAGCCTGCCAAAGCCAAAAGCCTGGAGAAGGGAATGGAGAGATCCCGAACGGGTGCCGGCAAAGTACCCGCCCCGGCGGAGCCCTCCTACGTGCCGCTCGGGGAAGGGAAGAAGAAGCCGGTGTTCTCCATCCAGGGCGAGGCCGGGAGGGAGCTGGAGCTGCTCCGCGAGGGCAGGGTGGGGGCAGGAGAGGTGGTGATGGGCCTGCCGGGAGAGGAGGATGAGGACGGGGAGAAGTGCTGCTCCTTCTGCTTCTGCTACCGCAAGTGCGAGGCGGCGGACGAGAGCAGCGAAAAGGACGAGCTGTCCTATTCCATCCCCCTGCAGGTGCTGCCGGGGATGCAGCTGGACGCAAACACCCTCCCCGTGGTCAGCAAGACCCTCCAGGTCCTGGACGCCGACGGCTGCAGTGGAGAGGAGGAGCCACAGAGTCAAGAGATTGACCTCCGCAGCTCTGGCACCCTGGAAGGCAGCCTGTCCCGGGTGCAGGCCCTGCAGGGCAAGACCTTCTCCCTGCCCGACGGCTTCCTCAGCGCCCAGCTCAACGCCAACGAGCTGCTGGCCATCCTGAGGCAGTGCGCGGGCAGCCCCCAGGCGGAGGACGAGCCCCGGCTGCAGGCGCCGCGGCTCGCCGAGTACAAGCAGGAGCTGGCCCTGCGGTTCAAGGAGTTCCGGGCCTCGTGCCGGCGCGTGGCTGGCGTGGAGAAGAGCCCCACCCGCATGCTCGCCGCCGTCTCCGCCAGCTTCCAGGTGCTCTGCGGGCTGACGGAGACCTTCATCAAGCTGGTGCGGGGGGTGCGCTCCGAGGCCCAGAGGCTGGAGCTCCTCAGGAAGGTGGAGGAGGTGGCGCTGAACTACACCTTCCTCCTGCGGGCGGCGGAGGAGTCCATGGGCAGATCCAGCAGCCTGCCCACCAAGACCAGCAGCGGCGCCGGCCTGCCAGCCCCTGCGGGCACCATGGTGGGCTCCCTCTCGTGCTCCATTAAGACCCTCATCGGCAAGTGAGGCCCCACGGGGGCCCGCACCTCACACCTCTCCTCACAGCACCCTGACCGGCTGACCGCCCAGGGCCCAGCGACACCACCTCCCTCTCCACTTCCTCCGAAAGGGGCTGCAGACCCCTGGGAAACCAAAGGGATGGGAACAGTGCACTCCCTTTCTCATGACTCCCGGACCACCTGTTGGGTATTTGGCAAGAAGAGGAGTATCCTTACTGGTTGCATCTCTTTGATTTCTTCCCAAGCTTGGTTTTGTGCCGTCACACCTCCGGCCCGCACGGTGGCACAGCTGTTCCTTCCCCCCATCTCCGCGGAGGCCTGAAGCAGCAAAGGGTGTCTCTCTCTCTCTCTCCGGCCGCCCTAGGGAGACCCCATCCCCAGCGGCCACAGCGAGCGCCAGGCGTGGAGGCCGAAGAGGTCAGCGTTCCTCTGCATTCAGCCGGACACCAGACCGGGCCCAGGGGGAGAATCCTGCAGAAAATCATGCCAAGCCCTTCGGCATTCATTAGCGTTTTCCGTCACAGCGGCTGAGACTTGAGGTTTTCATACTGCGTTAATTTTTAAGAGATAATCTTAACATTGATATTAATCCTAATAATAACGATGATGATGGCAGTGATTAAAGAACCGACATCTAATGTGCACTGAGCAGCATATCCCTCTAAAAATGAAATGTGAGTAGCTTATTCTATAAAATTAGTTGGTTGATTGGGTGGTGTGTTTGTTCGTATGATGTTTTGATACTTGTGATGCTGTATGGATTACTGCACTGGGTATGTGAACAGTGTCTTATATGGGACTCTTCAAATGTAATGTGTTCACAAAGCTGAGTTTTTAGATCACTTCAGATGTATGTACAATTAAGACGCACATGGGGGCACAAAAGCTTCTTGATGCCTAGTGAAGAAGGTGGGGCACACATGCTCAGGGCAGACAATGTAGCAGAGACTCAAACTCACCATGGGTCACATATTTCAAAGGGACAGTCCTACTACAATGGGGAGCTCAATGCAAACCCGTTCATTGTGAAATCTGTAGAGGTGCTTTTTTGCTGTGTGATTTCTCTGATCCACACTCAGATGTGCCAAAGCAAAGGACTGGGCCAGACTCCTATACTCGCACGTGCACGAGTCTCACACACATACACACTCATCATCTGCTCATCCCGAATGTCCTTTGCATGACTCCAGACAAGCTCCTCACACGGGCAGAAAAGCATGGAAATGGCAGGTTCCCATGCTTTTCCCCATACTCATGCACTGTCTCAGGACACACAGTGACAGAGTTGAACTCACCAGCCCATTCCCAGCCACGCTTGATCACATTCCTGCCAGCTGAGATTTTAGCACGGATTGGAAGGTAAATATCTCCCAGATCTGCCGCCCTGCAGGCCACTTGATACCTCGAGAGGTTTCCCTTTGTTCCACTTTACTCTGAGGTCTTATTTTTTAATGGTTTTATAGGCTGGCAGAAACTTCAAAGTACCGTTACGGCAAACGGGGACTTTCCATCGTGTTTAAGAAAACCGTGCTGGGTCCCCTTATCCTTCTCCCCCCAAAACTGACGTTGCAATTTTATATCTCCTATATCCAGTATGCATCTTTGGAGAGAAAAATGAAAACACACAATCTAGTATATTTTATTTCTAATGTATTTTAATAAAACAATCACCTGTTCTCTGTCTAAACACCTCTCTCTGTCTCTTTTGTCCCTCTCCCATGCCATCAGACAGCTGGCATGTGTGTGAATCTGCAAAGGACAGTGCGCAGCAATATCCTGGAAGCTAGCTTTGCGGTCTGGGTGCACTCGGGATACTCTTACCAAGTCACGCGGCAGACGGCGGGTTGCTTTTGTGTTTTGGCAGTACCATTCATCCGCTTGGTTCACCATTCTCGCACAGCTCGGGCTGCAAATGCGTTCACCCCATCCTAGCGGGATCTTTTCAGAGCGAAGGTTCCATTCTCTAGCCGAAGCTTCTTTGCTTGTTTTGTCTCGAAAACGTCGTCTGTGGCAGTTCGCGGAGTGTGCTGGGCTTGAGTGATCCCTGCACAGACTTCGTCTCCCCTGGCCCCCTTCGCCCCTAAAGGTGACCATCACCCACAGCCACGATGACCACCTTTGAGAGATGTCGGGGGGGTGGGGGGGGTTACCCTTTTCTTTATCTGCGTGAGTGTGGGTCTGTGTGTTTTGAAAGTGTCATACTTTTTAATTCAATCAAGATGTATTATATATCATGACCTTGTATATAATGTACAAAAAACAAACGGGTGATTTGTGAGGATAAAAATACACTCTTTTACAGTATTCAGCAGTGGCAGTGCAAAGGTTAGCAAACAAGGCTTCAAACTGTTTTGTAAAAAAGTACCACTCAACTGTATCTTAGTATTATTTCTAGTAGTGATGTATAGTTACAGAGATCAATAGTCTAAAATTATATTTAAGAAAAATTATAATTCTAAAAGCGTGGGCCATGTTTATTTTTATAAAATATATATGTTTAAAAACTCACTGTTCTTCCATTATTTTTACAGAAACAATCTTTTTTTTTTTTACACTTTTTGTGGTCAAGTGATTCGCGTGTTGCCATGATTTTGCGTTTTCCCCTTGGGCTTCGATTGCAGAACGAGATCACCTCCTCTTTTCCATTTTCCTTTTAGAGATCATTTGGTTAGCTATTTAGTTAGCTGATGTTCCTTGTCTTCACCTGTAGTCTCCTGTCTGTGTATTGACGTGGTTCATGTTTTAAAAGCAATAAAGTGAAATAAAGTTAATGACACGTAACCTGAGAGGCTGGCTGAGACGCTTGTGGAATGGAGTCCGACATTACATGGAGGTGTCGTTGTTGCCGCCTTAAAAACAGGCACAGCACAAGAAGAGCAGAAAGATAAAGACAAACCAGAACTGCATCACTGTGGTCACTGAAGCCACCAGACACAGGTCTGTCTCCGCCCGTGCTTGCTCGTAGCAGCTGGCAATAACTGAAACGTCAGCTCTTGGATCGTGAGATAAGCATGTGACCGCTTTGCTGGCACCCAAAAGAAAGCAGGCAAAGGCTCTCTGCTCAGCCACAGCTGTGGCCATGAGTATTATGATCTGGCTCAGGCGTCCAACCCTAACCCTACCTTTTAACGTGTGATAAGATCACCAGGACATACTGTAGGAAAAAAAGATGTAGGATTCCTTAAATACTAACCCTAACGTCCACCCGAACGTTAACCCTAACCCTAATGCTAACTCTAACGTTAACCCTAAACATCATGTTAACCCTAATGTCTGCTGTTTCCTGCTTCAACCCTAACAATAACTCTAACCCTGATATTAATACTAATGTTCTACGGACACGCCTGATAAACGGAAATGCTGTAATTCAAGTTGTTCATGTGCAGAAACAGGCTGTGATGTGGCTGGGCAAAGGAGTCTGGAAGAGCAATTGGGCACGTCAGTGACTGCAGCTCACTATGCAATACGTGTTTGGAAATATTTATCCTTAATCAGAAGAACAGTCTGGGCAAAGACCTCAGATCAATAAGTTAGCAGAAACTGGAAGAACAAGTATGGCCTCCTCTCGTTTGTGACTTGTCTTATTTCCTTTTGCTACTGTACCTGAACGAGATAGAGGACTCTTTCTGTATTGCTGTGCTGAGACTGTTCCGTCAATCGAGCGCATGATCGCGGGACTGAAAACCAAACATTTCTCCGAATCAGTGGGCTTTTCAAGATACTCCTTCGGCCTTCTGACTAGACAGCAGCAGCCCCAGAACAAAATGAGTAAACATTGTGTTTTCTGTAAAAATACAGGGTATCGGAAGGCCATAAATTACAATAGTGATTAAAAGACAATCAAGTGTGCACACGTGCACCGGGTTAAAGATCTATGGAGCAGATCATATTTTGCATGCAGGTGTGCAGCTTCACGAGTCACATGGCAGCTGGTTTACCTGAGCTGCCTCAGTAGCTTTAAGACCTGTATCAACTCAGCTGTGGTGCAGAACTCCCTTATCCTCTTATCCTGTGTTGACTTTTCTGTTCAATGTGTTTGGTTTAACAGGCTGGGCATTTGTCCAGGTTCTGTAGCTGCCAATTAGGTTACTTTGCTTCTTTAAAACGTGATGAAACACATAGTTGAGAACTGCCTCCAGAGCTCTGTCAGCAGTTACACACCACACTGGAGATGACTATTCATTCCTGAGTCTCTTCTCTGAGGATCCAAGGTCTGAAAAACAGGTTCTCTGCACCCAGCCTGCCTCTGCCTCACACTTGAAAACTGACGTCCCAGGACCAGTCTCTGTCCTGTGTGACTGGGGACTGAAGCTGCCAGGGTGGGTGAACAGTCTGTGCAGCTGGAAGATATCGTGGGGGTGTTTTCCCAGGTGTCTCAGAGCCGGAGAGGCTAAAGCGTTCCCGACAGCTCCCTCACCATCACATTGCGACATTCCAGATAAACCAAGACCCCCCGCTCTGTGGCCAGAGCAGCTGACTCTTCCTTCTTCAGGGTGATCGGAACTGTGTTGTTTTCTTTCCAGGATTGTGGAAACCGCAACGCATTTCTTCTTACAGCTACTGAGTGGCTGTTCACTCCTGAACCAGAATGAAAAAGAGAGAAGCACAAGGACTTTCTTGTGTAAAACCATGCTGTTTGCAAAAAAAAAAACAGGAAGGAAATGTTAAAAAGTTCTATTCTCTCCTTTTATCCCTGACTTAACATCCCTACCAGTGCACCGGTTGCCATTACTGAATGTCTCAGGTGTCTTTTATGTCCCTTGGCTGCAACATGGAGCTGTGGTTAGGGTCTGGAACAAGCTGCCAGGAGGTCAGAAGAGATATTTCCTATTTTCACTTCTTTCAAGAAACAGCTGAATGAGATCCCTGTGTTAATTAGCCCGGCAGCGGCTAATTACCCTGTAACTGGATGTTGTGGGTTCAAATCCCTGGTGAGACACAGCTGGTGTGTCCTAGAGCAAAGTACGGTACTTCATCTAAACTGCTCTGGTATAAAACACTCAGCTGTATGAAAGAGGGCAAGTGGAAATTGCCTTGGACAAAAACACTGGCTGGGAAAATTGGTAATTAACTAATGTTGCAGTCACATGGCAGATTTAGGTAATTCTGTGGTGTTTCATCGGCGCCTCTGTAAACCACTGCTGGTCTGATGAGCAGCTGCTGACATCCTTACCACTCTGGGCACACACAGCACCCCAGGGGGGAGGAGAAAGGGCAGACGAAGTCACCACTTCTCCATCTTCATCCCCGCTATCCAACTGCTGACCCCTGGCGGGGATCGCAGGGGGTAACAGGAGAAGACCAGACCTGCCCCTCCCCAGCAGCAGTCTCCAGCTCCTCCCGAGGGAGTCCCAGCTGTTCCCGGAGACAGCCGAGAGATATCATCCCATTCTCCCTCGGAAAAAGTATAATCCTTTGATACTCAGGAGTAAATCAGGGGAGACTTCTGGTAGCTGGGGCTGGGTTGGAGCATTTTCCAGTGATGTTGCTCTTTGTGCCTGCGAGAGAGGCGGGGTGGCTCACATTCATATTGATATTTTGAAAATGACTGCACAGAAGGATACAAACGTCAGGGTAGCATTGGACACATCTGGCCCGTTTGGTAATTATCGGTTAATTGATCTTCATCCAGCTGTTTCATGCAATAACAATAAAAATATATATATATAAGATAGAATAAGGCGCCGCATGATGACCGTGCTCGTTAACATCGAGTCCCTTCTCTGTCCCTATTGGTGATGGTAACTGCGCGAATCAAACTCAAAACTGGCATAATAAATGAAATTCGCATTTTGCATTGCATTTGAATGGAGTTTAAGGCATTTAAAAAAAATTTAAAAAAACTGCAAACAACCAAGAAGCGTAGCAAAGTATGAACCACTCACAATAGCCTGCTGCGCAGCAGAATGAAACCAGCCACGTTCTCTTTGAGCTGGTGACGCATCACGGGAACGTTTGTAGATGTAGATGGCGCATTGCTCTCGGTCTTTGGGAACCTAAGAACTTTTGCCCTTGCCTCTGTTGTGAGAATGGCAATGTTAATTGAAATTAATTAATTAAGTTAATTGAAATCGGATTGAAAATGTTGTGTTTTTATACTGGGTCTAGGCATTACAGTACAGTATATCACACCTAGCTTTAGGACCAGTGAAATAACCGCGTTTCTCCTTTTGAAACGGATTTTTCAACGTGTCGGCTGAACTGCCGTCAGGTGACCGTCTCCAAGCAGGACCCGTGAGTTTCAAGGTTCCCAAAATAAATCAACATCTTTGAACAAAGTTTATTTGGTTTCATGAGAAACGTCACCTTGCCACAGCAGACGAGCAACGAGGGAGAGGGCGGATCGTTTTTTCTAAAAAAAAAAAGTCCTCGAACCTGAGTAACCAATCAACACAAAGAAGAGCTCTCTCGCGGGGCGCGTTACGCAGCGGCGTGAGCCAATCCCGTTCAAGAAAGCTCTTGGACCCTGACGAATCAGAGGAAGTGTATGGGGAGGCGGGGCTGCGTGACGTATGCGGACCGCCCACGTAAGAGGCGGGGGGGAAGCAGAAGCTTGCTCGCGCCCTGCTGAGAGCGAGCGTGCGCGCGGGGTATCATGGTGGACAGACAGAAGACCGGCTAAGACTGAGATCCCGGAGGAGACGCGCTGTTCGCCCGATTTCCGAGGCTTCGGAGCTCAGATAATTTATTTAAAATAACCTACTTGGCTCCCGGCACACGTGTTATTTCTTTTATCGTCCCAGGTTTCTGTAAACCGACGCCCTGGAACGCCCAAAAATGCCCAATATTAAGATTTTCAGCGGTAGCTCTCACCAGGACCTGTCTCAGAAGATCGCCGACCGCCTCGGGCTGGAGCTGGGCAAGGTTGTCACGAAGAAATTTAGCAACCAGGAGACCTGGTGAGTCCGTCACGTTTTATTCTGGATCGGGAGGATTTGGGAGTATTTTTTTTTTAATTTCCTTTATCTGGGTGTTTATTTTGGTGGGGGTACTGTACCCACATGGGCTCGTGGTGCTGAGTAACGGGTAACAACGCAGTGTTTACCGCTCCCTCGCAGGGCACCCTGGGGTTTGTAGTGCTGGTACCGGGGGGTTAACGTGGCAGGGCCGCGAGCCGCTGCGGCTGACTGAACTACATATCCCAAGATCCTATGGGGCCTGCGGTAGCAGGCGCCTCCTGGGTAATGATGTTCTGCGCCTTATTTAAATCCCGATGCCGTTATGCCTGGACTACAAATAGTATGGCGGGGACGGCGGGTTGAGCATGTGATAAACGCAAGAACGCATGTAAAAATGTATTTGGAGGTGATGAAATCGGTGTTGTGGCGGGAGAACCTCCCCTCGATCATGTTTTAAAGCCCCCTGCCCCCCTCCGTTAATACGTGGCGGGTTCACAGTAAATGCAATTTGTACTGAAAGGACACTCGAGTGCAACTTAAAAAAAGATGCATTTTGGGATGCGCCGAGTGACCGACAGATAATGTTCAAGCCTCGGGTGCACGGGGGACATATCGAACAGTGTCTGCGCAGTCCGGTACGAATCAATTGCATAGCAATTATCTGGTCCCCGTGCTCACAAAAGTGCCGCAAAGGAGATGGCGTGGATAGTGCGGGCTGGACCCTCTCCAGTGATACGGAAATGAAAACGCGGGTAAATGCTTGTTCGGCTTCCCCTCCCCCCCCGCGTGTTTCTCAGACTGATGTTGCCGGTGTCCCCCGGTTCCGCTCGATCTTGAGCTTCTGCCGGAGAAGGACGCTGGTGTCGCATTAGATGAGCGGTATAGGTCAGACAGAGCGGACATCTTCAAAACGGCGATCTTCTGCTGGATCCTGCCCTCCGTGGGGCGGCTGCGGGGGTCACTGGTCAGGGACCGGGGAGCTGGGCCCCTTCTTCCCTGCAGAGCCCGATAAAAATACAAATCTGTTCCGAAAGCGCCTTTCCGAACCCAAGGACGCCCGGCGCTGTGCAATCAAAGCGAGTATCGCAAGGTCTTCCTGTCTCTAAAACACTAGAGAGCAGATGATGTCGGGTGTTTGAGACAATTTCAGATCCTGGGTACATGACTCGGGGATGTAAGGAATTGGGTCTGTTACGGGTATATTTCAGAGAGCTGCTACTGTTCCTGCTGTCGCTCTCTAACTGTGCACTAAGGTTTCAGTTTCTAGACGTGTCCCTTAGGTCAGTCATTTTCTGCATTTCACAACACCTTCCTTGTACATATCTAAAGTCTTTTTTTTTTTCGTCTTTTGTCCCATTGACCCTGGCCTTGCTTTTAGTGCAAAGCAAGAATACTGGTTCTTGCTTTGCACTAAAAAGAATGTGCCGCCGCTTTTGAGGGGATGCACGTTGGCGTTCAGGCCCAACAATTCACCAGCCGCAGTTGTGCTCAATGAGTAGGTAACGTACCAGAATTCAAAGTTGAGCCTTGGTGGAGGATATGCGAGTTAAGTTCAGGCCGCTTTGAATTAATCTGTTCTCAAATCATTTCAATGACTAAAGTGATGAAGTTTGAGTTTTAGACCACGAGAACATTGATTACAAATGAGAGGAAGCCATTTGGTCCATCGAGGCTGTTTCTTAGTAGCTAGCTGATCGTAGTGTCTCGTCCAGTTGGTTGTAGAAAATAACATTTTCTGGGCACTCAACTCAAAGTGCTCTACGGGTAATGGGGATGTCCCACCACCACCACCTCCTGAATGATGTGACAGCAGCCAGAGTGCGCCAGTGCACTCTCCACACCAGCTCTCAGTGGAGAGGGGAACAGAGCAATGAAGCCAATTCATAGATGGCATTATCCGGAGGCCATGATTGGTAAAGGCCGGGGGAATCGCTTTCAACGTGACTGTGTGGCTCGTTCCGCAACGTTTTGAATAAAGAGGCGCCTCCTGTTCTCAACTCGAAATAGTTCCGCTCTCGCTTGTCTTCACTCTTCGTGCTGAAGGAGAAAGACACTGACGGCCTTTCACGGGACCGTTGTACAACCGACTGCAGCAATTCAACAGCCGAGAGGCTTCGGAAAGTGTGATGAGCCTGACAGTAACTCGTTTTAAAAGAAGTTGAGTAGAGCAGAACAAGGAATAAAATAAGTATTTATTCTTGAGAACGTAAGCTGGGAAAGACAGGTTGCCTCTGTCTCGTTAGCTTCCTGATGTAATTACCGATTTACTTGGCTGATGCTTTAATCCAAAGTGACACTGCCACCAGTTTATGCAGTTGGCTATTCCACTAGTGAATTTTTGCGTGAAGAACGTTGCTCAGTGTTACAGCAGGGGTGCCTTGCCTGGGATTTGAACCTGCAACCTTCCAGTACGTGTCTGGAACCCTGATCACTGTGCCACGCTGCTGCTGCCCAGCTAATTGGCCTAAGGATCTTAGGCTCTTTCTGATATTCCTTGAAAGAAGGAAGTATACCTTTTGCCTGCGTGACTGGGTAGCTTGTTCCAGGCCCAATGGTTTAATGATATAGGAGTGTAGCAAGATGCATCTGAGTGTTCTTAGATGTGAACCAAAGGAGCATCTGACCCTGTTTGATGGTAACTGCAGAGTGATGGTGATGCAGGTTAAGCTTGCTCCAAGTCCAGATTGGTTTGATTTTTGATAGTGATCCTTGTTCCAGTGTCCAGGCTGCAGCATCGATATCGGTGTCTGTGTTGGTAATGTCGGTGTGCACGCCTCCCTCCCCCCCTCAGTGTTGAGTTCTGTCTCCCTGACAAATTCTAATCCCTGGGTAATCGTGTTACAGCTGGTAGGGTAAATGTCAGCAGGAACAGAACAGAGGCCAGTGGCTGAATGGTTAGTAGCTCTGAAGCTCTATCTATGTGGTGAAATATTTCTTAATCTAACCTGATCACACATCGCTCCAAAGTTCAGTTAAAGCAGCAGCATCTCCAGTTGGAAACTGGCCTATCATTTTCAATTTAGGAGATATTCTCAAGCTGTGAGGCTGTGCTACCCTTATCTTGTCAGTTTTTGTGCAGCACTGTTCAATGACCTGACATCTAACAAAACCTGCAGGAAAAATAAAAGAATGCTATGCCAAAAAAAAAGGTTCTGGAAGTATCGCTATCCTGCTCACCCTGGATCCCCCACCATGTTTTCTCATGTTTTACAGTTTGTAAATTGAAGTGAAGAAATAGCCACATTCCAAAATAGCCAAACTAATGCACTTCTATTCCTTTTTGATGGGTATGACAGCTGATAACACAGTTCGTTTAATCCCATCGAAATAATATTCAAAAGAAATTGGTATTCTTAAATATGCATACAGGCTACGAGAATTAATATGTAGATTTTTCATTTTTCGGTGTTATCGTTGCCATGGTTTTTCTCTTTTACAAATTTGTCTCTGATTTGGGATGGGAACCTGTTTCTATTTCTGTCCTGGTCCTGTGGACTTGAGTAGGAAAACATCTGCGTCTTGAGCTCCCTGTGCTGTTTACCTTCTGTGTCTTGACAGTGGCTGTGTTTAATCCTGGCCTTCAGACGCACGCAGATACACAACCTTCAACCCTGCGAAAGAGTGCGTGGGGAGCGGGGGGCAGAGCATTTATCTCTAACAAAACACTAGACCTAGTTTTGCGGTTTTCTGGAAAGTCTAGTCTGCCATTAAAGGCATATATCTAGCAATAGAATTGGGTTTGTGTTCAAATTAGTTTGCTCCTCCCTTGAAGTCTTTTTTTGGGGGGGGGTGTTTAGAGTTTGCACTCTGTCACAAGATGAGAAATACTGATTTCTGTTTTGAGAATTATCATGGGGAAAGTCATGAGAAGGTCATGCACTCCTCCCCTTGGCCTTGCGTGTGTGTGCGTGCTGTTTTGCATTACCTTGGTCCTGAAAGGTCCTGTTGCTAAGCCATGTACCTTTCAGGTGTTACTCTGGCAACCCAGTGGAATATCACTGTGACCTGTAGTAACCTCTTTTATACGTTCTTCATAGTACGAAATGTACCGGATCCAGATCAGATACGAACAGATGCGTGCCTTCGTAACTTAGGAATCTTTTTTTTTTCCCCCAAGGTTATGAATTTTCATATAGCTTGGGAAAGGCTTCATTTTGTTAGGGGTTGCGAGATGAATATCCCCAGCTGCTGTTCCATTGGTACACAGCTGTATTCAAGTCTGGCCCGGGGTAACGACCGTCCCATGTCCCGGCTGGTTGCTGGGATCCTCAGGTCTGCAGACCCTGGCTGATCTAGTGTTCTCGGTGAACTCCAGCGCTTGGAGACACTGTCCTGAAATGAAACTGATCTGTTTTAATGCGTGAGCTCTAATCTTGGAGAGTGACTAGTAATCCTGATGGGCACAGCTTGTTAGCTTTTTTTTTGTTGTTGTTGTTGTTGACAGCGTGTCTGTTAGGTCATCCCTTCGATCACTGCCTCTGCTCTCCTGTCTTTCATTGTTGTCACTCCTGCTGCCTCACTTGCCTGCGCCTACCTGGAGTGGTCGGAGGCGATGAGCGCAGTAAGTAAAAAGCTCCTGGGATAGGGGTTGCCACAGAGGCCACGGACCTGGCTCCAATAAGTACCTTTCACGTCAGAAGCCCTCCGATCAAGGGACCCAGAGCTCTCTGCGGCATGGACTAAGCTACCAGCACGCCAGGCGCAGGCAGTTAGGAGTGAACAGTGCAGATGTTCCGAGTGTGCTTTGGCAGTTTAGAGGAAAATGGGGTTTTGTTCATGAGTGAAATTCCTTGAGAAACCACTTTGGCAAATGTTAAGTCGGTGGGCAGAAGTGTAGCCTGGTGCTGCTGCCACAGCTCCTGGGCTCAGTTCTGGCCTGGAGTGGTGCCTTCTTTGTAAAGTCCATATGTTTCTGTCCCCCACCCCATCTTCCAGGGATGCATGTTTGTGAGGTTAAATCTCTAAACTGTTCCCTGCTGCAGTGAGATTGCCTCCCGTCCGTGGAGCTGTTCCACCTTGGGGTTGAGCTCTTTGCTGCTCTGACCTTTACCAGGAAGAAATGCCTTTCTGGGACCAGAGAGTCTTAAAAACCCTCACCAGAGATGAGGGACGGTTTTTCTTCCTTCACGGAAGACTTCACCTTCGGCTGTTCCAAGTGCTCCACTTAGTCAGCTGCAGGCGTCCAGGCCGTGACTAGAAGCAGGAGGCCCTGGGCAATGCATTTCGTGCAGTTTTTGCTTGAATTTATAATGCCAGTGAAACGAAATATTTCTGGAGTCCCGAGGCCGTGCTGCGCGGTGTGGCAGGGGAAAAGTGCACGGCAAAGGAGTCCAGCGGGAGCAGGTGTCCGTGACAGGCCGTGAAGCCGTTCTGAAGGGGCGCAGGGAGGTAGAAAGAAATTTAAAACGGGAGTACAGGCTTCCCTAACTAGGTGTTCATTCTGACTTGGAAGCGCGAACGTGCTTGTATACAAAGTAATTGCGAAGAGCCCTCTAACTTCCTTTCTCTGAAGGTTAATGGAAGTGTGAAAAGGGCAGCCCAGCCATGTTGTTGAAGCCAATACCTCTTTGAAGAAACAGCAGGATGAGAGCCTTAGCTGCTAACCGTCAGCTGGCCTCTTCTGGTCTTTGACCTCTCTGTCTGGAACCCCTTGCGCCGTGACCAGCGGTCTTTCCAGGGGTGTGTCTGGCGGTAACCGGAGTCTGCCCTGTCCTTGCCCCCTGCAGTGTGGAGATAGGGGAGAGTGTGCGCGGGGAAGACGTGTACATCGTGCAGAGCGGCTGCGGCGAGATCAACGACAACCTGATGGAGCTGCTGATCATGATCAACGCCTGCAAGATCGCCTCGGCCTCCCGCGTCACCGCCGTCATCCCCTGCTTCCCCTACGCCCGCCAGGACAAGAAGGACAAGGTGGGGGTGAGGGGCCTCACTCTCGATTCCTTCCCAGCATGGCTGCATGAGTTGAGAGCTGCGCTGATGCAGCTGGAACCAACTCTTAAGTATTTCCATTTAACCTTTTTAAAAATAAAATCGAGTCCTTTGTTGAAAGGCATGCTCTTGTTGGCCGAAGCTGTGCTTTAGAGCATTTTTTTTTTTTGTTAAAGAACTTTACTTCTGTCAGCCATATAATTAACTACCACGAGTACAGCCTGTGATTTATAGGTCACCCTAGCACAGTTCTAAATTCCTGCCGTTCTTTAGCTTCAAATGATTGGTCACCATTCATTGCATTAGTGGAATAAGTTGGAAATCAAGTTAAAAATGGACTCTTTGCATGAAGCAGTTCTTAATTTCTTGTTTATGGCAGGCTTGCGCGCTTGTCCGACAGCCGAGTCCAGTATGCCATAGCCTTTGTTTTTATTTGCAGAGTCGCGCGCCAATCTCAGCCAAGCTGGTCGCCAACATGCTGTCTGTTTCTGGAGCAGATCACATCATCACCATGGACCTCCACGCCTCCCAGATACAGGTGAGCTGTGCAGTAAGATTAACAGCGATGACTTCTTGTGGGAACAGCACAAGTAGCCTGCTGTCATTTTGTGCTTGGGGACTCCCAAGTGGTTGAAACACTGACCCAATGTGGAGCTGAGCTTGTTTCCTGCCTTGGCCCTGCGCAGGGCTTCTTTGACATCCCGGTGGACAACCTGTATGCTGAGCCGGCCGTGCTAAAGTGGATCAAGGAGAACATCCCCGAGTGGAAGAACTGCACCATCGTGTCTCCAGACGCAGGGGGCGCCAAAAGGTTTTTCTTTCTTTTTCAGG